AAGGAGAGCGGGTGGGATGTGGTCAGGGGCATCCCTGGGGCCCCAGGGGGGGATAGGCTCGGAAGTCACTGGCCCAGGGGGAGTGCCAGTTTCCGGGCGCGTTCATCGGCTTCGGGCTCCGTCCCGCCTCGGGGCGCTCTTCAGCTACGCCTCGCTGGGAAGCGTCCTGGGAGGCCCAGATCGTTCCGAGCGCCCGCCGGAGACCCGAGCTGCGACCCGAAAATCGGACGACGAGGATCACTGGAGGAGGAACGGCCCAGGGGGGAGCGCATCGAGCCCCGATCGTCCAGTGGCCGCCGTGGGGAGCCTGGTGGCCCACTCCGCCCCAGAGCGTGCGGTGTCGCTCATTTTTCGAGCGCAGGTCGCCGATCTATCGGCGGCGCATCCCCGATTCCCAGTCGATGTCCCCCCCACCCCCTGAGCTGAGCCAGCCCCCCCCCCATCGTATCACCTCGGGAGGGGGGATGGGAGGGAGGGGAAGTGCGAGTCGGCGATCCGAGCATGCATCAGTTGTCCGCCGCCTGGGGAGACCAATGGGCCCGAGTACATCCACATGCGGGCGGCGGATGCGGTTATACTCGGGCCCCTTGGGGCCCGATTGTATCCGTACCCCCCCCTGGGATCCCAGGAGAGCGGTCTCGAAGAAGGTGGATCTGTGTAAACCCCTGCCTCGCAAGTAGAAGGGGAGAAGGGAGGAGGAGGGGGAGGCGAGACGGTGCAGGATGTGGATGCGGAGGGGGAGGAGAAGGAGGAGGAGGAGGACGAGGAGGGGGAGGAGGAGGGAGGAGAGGGAGAGAGGGGGAGGAGGAGGGAGGAGGGAGGGAGGAGGAGGAGGAGGGAGAGGGAGGAGGGAGGCAGGGAGGAGGGAGGAGGGAGGAGGGAGGAGGGAGGGAGGAGAGAGGAGGGAGGGGGAGGGGAGGAGGAGGAGGAGGAGCGAGGAGGAGGAGGAGGAGGAGGAGGAGGAGGAAGGAGGAGAGGAGGAGAGGAGGAGGAGGAGGAGGAGGAGGAGGAGGAGGAGGAGGGAGAGGAGGAGGAGGAGGAGGAGGAGGAGGCAGGAGGGGAGGAGGAGGAGGAGGAAGGAGGAGGAGGAGGGAGGAGAGAGGGAGGAGGAGGAGGAGGAGGGAAGGAGGAGGAGGAGGAGGGAGGAGGAGGAGGAGGGAGGAGGAGGGAGGGAGGAGGAGGAGGAGGAGGAGGGACGAGGGAGGAGGAGGGGGGAGGAGGAGGAGGAGGAGGAGGAGGAGGAGGAGGAGGAGAGGAAGGAGGGGAGGAGGAGGAGGAGGAGGGAGGAGGAGGGGAGGAGCGAGGGAGCGACGAAGAAGGAGCAGGGAAGGAAGGGAGGTGGAGGGGGGAGGGAAGGGGGAGGGGGAGGGGGGCAGGGCCGCGGGCTCGAGGGCCTGCCCCGCGAACCCCGCGCCCTCGGGCCGCCAGAGGCCGCCACGCCCCCGGGTCGCGGCCCCCCTCCCGCCCCGGGGTCCTCGGGCCGTCGCCACCTCCTCCCCTCCTCCCTCCCTCCTCCTCCCTCCTCCCCGCCTCCTCCCTCCTCCTCCTCCTCCTCCCCTCCTTCCTCCTCAATCCTCATCCTCCTCCTCCCTCTCTCTCCTCCTTCCCTCCTCCTCCTCCTCCTGCCTCCCTCCTCCTACCCTCCTCCCTCCTCCCTCCTCCTCCTCCTCCTCCTCCTCCTCCTCCTCCTCCTCCTCCTCCTGCTCCTGGGGCCAGGGCGGCGTGGGAGGAGCGACCAGGCCAGGGGCAACGATTTTTGTTGGGGGTGATCGGCACCCACTCCCAGTCGCTTCGGGTGTCTAGGTCCTCGGTCGTTATCCTCCGCTCGCGGCGGCTTTCCAGCCTCGGGAGGCGCTCCAGCAGCTGCGCCTCGTCGAGGGCGCTCTGGGGGGTGCCGGAATCGTTCCAAACGGCCGCTGGAGTGCCGAGTTGTGGCTCGAAAACCACCTGGGGATAGGCATAGGGTGGGGTGCATCGACCCCCAATCGCCCACTGATCGCCGACAGGGGCACGGTAGCCCCGGCCTGCCCAGGGAGGTGCGGACTCACCATCAGAGGCCCATCGCCGTTCTATCGGCGATGTATCGCCGATTCCAGGTCGATGCATCCCCCCTATGCCAGTCCCCCCCTATCGTTGCCCCCCACCAGGCGAAGTGTGAAACGTTGGCGCGGACAGGAGCTCTGGCAGGACCCCTCAGGGGAGGGCCGCTTGAGACACCTGTAGTTGGCCTTCGGGGGGCCCCTCTCATCGCCACGGCTGGACGCAGCTCGGAGAGCTGGAAAAAACTGTGTCCGGGCTTTCGATTTTGAGCCGATCTCGAGTTTCCATCCAGAGTCTCAACTCGCCCTTCCCCGAACCCCCCCCTCCCTCGCGCCAAGCTCGCGCGCACGCCGTCCCCAGGCGTGGGCTGCCCACGGAAGGAGGGGGCTCAGAGGAGAGGGCGGCCGGGAACGGGGCGTGGCGCAAGAGGGAGGTCGTGTGGGGGGGGGGGCAACCGAAGGAGAAGCGGGGGCGCTTACTTTGAAGTTGAAGCACATACATTACCAGTTGCTCAATCCCAGGACTTTGCGAGGGTCGGGGGCGACGTCGGGGTGGTGTGGTGTATACTTGTACCCCCTTCTGCGCCCTGGAGCGCCTGCAGGCGCTCCAAAGGCCAGCTGCATGGCCCCACCCCCAATCGAACGACTGATCAATCGGACCCGGCGCCCTCCCCGAGGCGGAGGCGGAGGATGGCCCTCTGACGCAGCGGCACAGACATCCCGTGCCTCTGGAGGGAGGCTTGCTTCGGGTCTCTGGCACCGGCACGAAACTGATTTGAATGAGATCCTGCCTTGGGGCGGGTTTGGAGACCGAGGGGCCCACGTCAGTAGGAGGAGGAGGAAGAGGAGGAGGAGGAGGAGGAGGAGGAGGAGGAGGGAGGAGGAGGAGGAGGAGGGTAGGGGAGGAGGAGGGAAGAGGAGGAGGAGGAGGGAGGAGGAGGAGGAGGAGGACGAGGGAGGAGGAGGAGGACGAGGGGGGAGGAGGAGGAGGAGGAGGAGGAGGAGGAGGAGGAGGAGGAGGAGGAGGAGGAGGAGGAGGAGGAGGGAGGAGGAGGAGGAGGAGGGAGGAGGAGGAGGAGGAGGAGGGAGGAGGAGGAGGAGGAGGAGGAGGAGGAGCAGGGAGGAGGAGGAGGAGGAGGAGGAGGAGAGGAGGAGGAGGAGGAGGAGGAGGAGGAGGAGGAGGAGGAGGAGGACGAGGGGGGAGGAGGACGGAGGAGGGAGGAGGAGGAGGAGGAGGAGGAGGAGGGAGGAGGAGGAGGTGGAGGAGGAGGGAGGAGGAGGAGGAGGAGGAGAAAGAGGAGGAGGAGGAGGAGGAGGAGGAGGAGGAGGAGGAGGAGGGAGGAGGAGCAGGAGGAGGTGCTTGCTGGTGAACGTCTCCGCTCGGCCTCTGCCCGTGTGGCCGCCTCGTGCCCGCTCCCTGCGCGCTGCCGGGCGTCTCCCGGCCCTCGCCCAGTGCCCATCCGCTCGCGCTTCGTGCACGCCCCGTGCGCCGGCTGGCGTCTGCTCAGAGCCCCGAAGCATCAGGGGTAGCTCGGGTCAGGGCTAACTCGGGTTCGCTTTTCGGGAATCCGAACCCGAGTTACCCCGGGCCCGAGTTCCCCCGGACAGTTCGGGCGTCCAGGGCCCCGAAGCATCAGGGGTAGCTCGGGTCAGGGCTGGCTGGGGTTCGCTTTTCGGGAATCCGAACCCGAGTTACCCCGGGCCCGAGTTACCCTGGACGATTCGGGCGCCCAATCTGCGGGTCTCGCCCAGTTCAGTGCCCGCCTCGTGTTGAGTCGGGCCTGTCCCTCTCAAGGAGGGAATGTTCAAGCATGGTCGAAAAGTAGTCCGGGGACGAGTCTTCTAGAACTGTTGTTTACCATGTGGGAGTATTTTTTCCATTTGGGAGCATGTTTGGAGAATATTTAATTCTTCGTCGACAATCGGCCTGCAGGGGGACATGCCCGACCGAAGCCTCGTGCCTGTGCCCACCTCGCGCCCGCGTCTGTGCGCCTGCTGGCGTCGCCGGGCTCCTGCCACCATGCCCGCCTCGTTGCCTGTCCCCCGCGGCCCGGCTGGGTTTTTTTCCAGGTGTTCGCCCGGCCTGGCGCGTGGACTCCGCGTTTCAGGACGCACGCATGGCCTGCAACACTTACGGTAGGTTTGCGTCGTGTCGACCAGCGGCGACCCCAGCGCGGACGTTCAAGGTTGAACGCCGCCAGCGACCCAGAATCGATCGATGTTGAACGATCGGACGTTGCGGCAGCGGCCGATCGTTCAAGGTTGAACGATCCCTGCGGTGTCAAAAACCAACGCTGGGGTCGGCACGACACGAACCTGTCGTACGTAGATTGCTTCACGTAACCTGCGCCGAGTAGCTCGCGCCATGCTGGATTGCGAGAAGGTTTTACGGTGGCACCCCTCAGCTTGCACAACTCTGCACCGCATTTCTGCACGAACGAAATGGGCACGGAAAGAATGAGTACAATGCCCAAAAGCGGATCTGGTTCATTTTGAACAGGACTCGCTGTCCACGCCGACGCGGGCTGTGTCCATTCGGGACAGAAGGCCGTCTGCCCAACAGCGGCCGCTGTTGGTTTGGGACAACATTTGTTGTTGGGCATTGTACCCATTCTTTCCGTACCCATTTCGGGCGTCCAAAGCATTGCTTGCACCGCGTAGATGGCGCCACATATGCGGCGCCACGCGGACTGCAGTCCCTCTATTGGATCGCATAGAGAGCGCGCACCGTGAGTGCAAGAACCCGCAGTCTGGGGCCCGCGATGCCAAACAAATGTTTGGCTTTGCCTCTGGAGGCTTCCCCTGGGGACCTCTGGTAGACACTCGAGAATCGGACCTCTGGAGACCTCCGTGCAGCTCCTTCCCCAGACATTCTTGCAACGTCAAGAAATTGCGACAGAAGGTTTTTCACACTTTCTGGTCTGGCATCACGCCCGTGGGGGCCATGGAGTCACTTCTCGCAGCTTTTGGCCCAACATTGGATTGGGCTCGGTGGCCGCGACGCACCAGCCGCAGGCCCGATCCTGGCGAGATTCAGGCATGGGGCGCTGACGCGAAGAGGTCGGCATGGCGGGCTTTGCGCTGTGGGCGCGGCATGGCAGGGCGCTGTGCATGAGACGGTGGATGCAGGTCGCTCTCTTCGCCTCCTCGTTCGTGGTTTGGGTCAGGCTGACCGCGATGTCGTCGTCGCTGAGGGTTGGCGGTGGCGACGGCGATGACGGTGATGAGGCCGTGGCCGATGACGTCGTCCCCCTGGAAGCCGTGGGTGTGGGGGAGCAGCCTGCGACCCTGGAGGCTCTGCTTGAGAACCCGCAGAACGACCACTTTTATGAGAAGCCGCAGGGCGACCACTATTACACGGTGTGCAACGGACTCGCTGACCAGATGCTCGGACACGCAGCACACATTGCGCTTGCGATCTTGCGGAAGAGGCCAGTCATGATCCCAGACTCGTTGGTCTTGGACAGCGCTTTCACCACGCCTGGCGGCGGCGTCTCCAGGAACGCGGTGCCAACAACGCAGAATTCTGTCCCCCTGGTGGCAGTGTTTGACACCGGCGTGCTCCTAGAGAAGATCGCGAATTTCGGCATAGAGGCACGCATCGTCCATTACGACGTGCGTGATCATGACCGGCTAGAATGCTCGTATGTCACAGCTCTCAAGTACGCTGAGCCTGATGTTGTGAAGGAGTTGTTGAAGGCAATGGTGCCATCCAAGGGCATGCTGGCCCTTCTCGATAGAACCATGTCGGCCATGATTGCCCTACTTCCGAAAAGAATGGGTGAGTTTGCTCAGAGCGAACATGTGCTCAACACAAATACAACAGCATCCCCGATAAATGGCGCTGTTTGCCTTCATCATCGTGATGGCCTTGACTGGCACCGGCACTGCGATCTGTGGGAGCGCCAATCTAAGGCAAACGTGAACTGCAGGAGGCAGGAGCCTATCTCGGAGTTAGTGAGGGAGCGCATCTCGCACTTGAAGAACGCATGGGTCTTCTATGCCGGAGACCACGAAATCCCAGCGGATTTGAAAGTGTTCGACGTGCCTGTCATTTCCCGAAAGCAGGTTTCAATTTCCCACAGTGGGCTCATGGACCAGCTCATTGAGAAGAAGTTTGAGTCAATGCCCCGTGGTGTCGGTGCTGTCTTGGATTATGGAAGACGCCATCAGCGAATCCCCGCCGACTCATGCCAGTTTCGAAACTCATATGGCCAACACACATTGGCCAAATGTTGGCCATGCGACTGGACTGCGTCTTCCACCAGCCGCTGCGAAGACATCTGAACGAGTAGAAACGAATTACACTTTCTCTGAGATCGTTGAGCTGAGACCCCGCGATGCTCCCTCAGGGGTGTCTAGGGCTGTCTTGGCAGCCTTATGGGCAATCGGAGAGTCGTAGGGCATCTTGAAGGTAGTTCGAGGCTATATCGTTGTATACTGGTTGCCGTCTTCAGACCTCTTGGTACCATCCTGGGCAACATCGAGACCCTCCTCAAGATATTGGGGCCTCTTGAGGGTCTCGGGTGCATTCGAGGAACATGTTCGGCCCGCTCGGAGCCATATGGAGCCATGTGGGTCGAAACGGCGCGAAAGGCCAGAAAACATTGAAACGTTTTGGCTGTCTACCTATGCGCATGTGGTCGAGGCTAGTATGCGACGGCGGTGCAGTGCCAAGTCGAACAGACAGTCCCCATATAGCCTATAGCGCGAGCGAAGTTTGGCGTGGACCCCTCAGCGCCACCTCGACCGTCCCGCCATGCAGCTGTAACTCTCGTGTTGCTGTGGCTCATGGCCCCCTCGTAAGCACACTGCCGCAGTTCGAGCCTACGTGCGTCCCTTTGTGTGCCTTGGCGATCTCCGGCGGACCGCGGCTTGCATGCTCGCTGCTGATTCGTTCGCCACCCTGCCGAGTGCGAGCGCGTGGTCACCTTGCGCCATCTTGGGAGACCAGGCAGCCCACCAACGGCGGCTTTCCATCCTCCACCCGAAAGGGCGCGCACGGCCTGAGGAGCTACTCCGGATTCCATAATAAAGTAGGGGGGGTCACATTTGGCGGGGGGGTCTGATTTGAGCTGTCTTGAAGGGTTCGGGGGGATCTGGGCAAAGTGCCGCCCTTTCATGGATGGTCTGGGGGGGTCTAAAACTTCTGGTCTGGGATGGTTTTGACCCCCTCCCTCTTATTACGAAATCTGGAGTACCCTCCACAGACCGATGGCACTCAGGGGCTCCTCCTCCTTCCTCCTCTGCAGCGTACCTGGCTGGTGCCTCCAGGTTTTCCGAGGGGAGCTGCCGGCCCCTGCCCCGCGGGGTGGCGACGTCGGCAGAGCTTGGCCCGGATCCCGAGGAGGAGGAGGAGGAGGAGGAGGAGGAGGAGGAGGAGGAGGCGGAGGAGGAGGAGGAGGAGGAGGAGGAGGAGGAGGAGCAGGAGCAGGAGGAGGAGGGCCCGTCGCCGGAGGGGCCCCCACGGGGTGGGCCCACGCGGGGCCCCCCCAGCCCTGGCCTGCGCGCCCGGACCTGGACACGCCGCGGCCCCCCTCCGAGGGCCACGCCCGCCTGCGGGCACTCCGAGGGCCTTCCGGGGCGGGCTCCGTTGGCGCGCCTCCCCCCCGTCGGGGGGCGGGGCGCTCCTCGCCAGAGTGTGCTTCCGGGTCCTCGCCCGGTGCCCGCCGCGTGCGCTTGCCGGCGCTTCCCGAGCGCCGCGCGGGAGGCCTGCCCGCTTCGCGCGTCCGGCGGCGTGCTTCCAGGGCGTCGCCCAGTGCTCGCCCGTGCCCGCCACGTGGCCTCGTGCGTTGGCGCTTCCAGGGCTCTGCTTGGCGAGGAGGAAGCAAGGCAGGGCGCCGATACCGCGACGGTTCCGTCGTTTTCGCCTTCTTGGGCCTCCTTGGGGGGCCCTCGTCGCCACCGCTGGGTTCGCCTCGAAACCCTGGTCAGAGCGCACCCGGGGAGAGGTCGGGGGAGAGGAGGCGGTGAAGTCCAGATGATTTCTCACGGGCTCACGGGCAGAGGTTCCGTTCCGAGGAAGCCCCCTCGAGTGCGCGAGCCGCGGCCCTTGAGCGCCGGCCTAAACCTCCTCGTGACTGAGATAGTTTTTTGGTTTCCCCATGGTACCTTCCCATGGCTGGGGGAGTAGCGGTATCGGTGCCTCTTGATTTCCCCGTGGTGCTTTCCCGCGCCCGCCCCTGAGCGCCGCATGGCGCTCGCGATACCTGGCTTGCAGCACTGCCTGCACCGTATAGGTTGTAGTTTGCACCGCATAGGTTGTAATAAGAGCCTGTTTTCATTTTTCCTGGATGGCGGCCGTCATCGGCCCCGCCCCCTCCCCCTCCCAGATGACGTCACGGTCCGGGCCGGCGGTGTCCGGGAATGCTTAAGGATAACCGAGGCCAAGTAGGGCTAGCATGTGCGTGACGATTTGCACCACAGCGCCTGTGTACGCCGCAATGCTCGCGTGCACAACAGCGCTTGTGCACACCACAGCGCCTGTGTGTACACCGCAACAGCCGTTTGCAACGCAGCGCCTGTGTACACCACAGTTCTTGCGTGCACCACATCGCCTGTGTACACCACAGCGAATGTGTACACCGCAACAACCATGTGCAACACAGCACTGTGTACACCACAATGCTTGCGTGCACCGCAGCGCCTGTGCACACCACAGCGCCTGTGTACACCACAGCATCCGCGTGCAACGCAGCGCTGGTGTACACCACAGTGCCTGCGTGCACAGGTCAGGTAGAAGGAGCATGTAGGTGAGGATTTGGTGCGGACAGCTACAAGCCACGCCAGGGAAGTGCTGATAATAGAATGCGATGTTCTTCCCTCCTCCATCCTCCTCCTCCTCCTCCTCCTCCTCCTCCTCCTCCTCCCCTTGCCCCCCTCCGCCTTCACCTCCTCCTCCTCCTCCCCCTCCTCCTCCTCCTCCTCCTCCTTCACCTCCACCTCCTCCTCCTCCTCCCTCTCCTCATCTTCCTCCTCCCTCACCCTTCCCCCCGTTGTGCGGGTCGGCGCTACAGCGCACGTGCGCACGTCTGTCTAGTGAATCAGCCCACTCTGCGGCCAATTCTGCGGGAGTCTTCTGAACGCAGATGGGTGGGGTTAGGATGATGCGGGAGGATCCGGGAGGACTCGTAGATTCAGCGGCGCTCCTTTTTTTCCATAGGGCATCCTCTCCAAATCCTATACAAAACAATTGTTGGTTGATTCCACAGGTGCTCCATTTCTTCGTGAGGAGTCCTTTTGAAATTCTATATGCAACAACCGAGCTCTGTTGAACATGGTTGCTGTGGTGCACACAGGCGCCGTGGTGAACACAGGCGTTGAGGTGCACGCAGGCACTGTGGTGTACACAGGCGGTGTGGTGCAGATCGCCACCTACATGCTGCTGCTAACCGCCCTCGGTCATTCCTTGGCATTCCCAGACGCCACCGGCGCGACACGTGACGTCATCGGCCCCCTTCCCTCCCCAGATGACGGCCGCCATCGGGCCGGGTAAAAACAGAGGCTCTAACTAGACAGCACCAACCATGCATGCAGCACATAGTTCGCATCCCATGCACCCTTTACCACCGTCCCGAAGCGTGAGTACATCAGTTCTCCATAGTTATTCAGCGGAAGGAAACATGATGTTTGATTTAGAACCTGGGTGGCTCCACGAGGGGGCATGTAGATTTACTGTGTTCACAGATGCCGGTTTTTATCGGCAACTCTGCGTCCACATGGAGCGCATCCCAGATCTTACTTCGGGACACGGTGGCCTCCTGGTACAATTCCTTCGGCGTCCCTTTGGGGGCACTCCTCAAGGCATACACCATTCCGTTTGTTTACACGTACACTGAAGAGAGTTCGCCTGGTGGTAAGATGTTATTGAAGGTGTCGGTCCTCTCCGTGAGGAGGAGCATGCCAGCCGCACAAATTCACATATTATATCATGGGAAGGGCGACGGAGAGTTCCGGGACTGGCTGGTGCAGCATGGCGTCTTCCTCCACGAGCACCAGCCTAAGTGGCGGGGCCATATAGAGCGAATGCGCCTCAACGGTAACAGATTGGCAAGCCACTTGTATGCCAGCTCTGGGAATTACCTTGGCACCTGGCAGCGCATCGACATTCCAGAGTTTTTGTCAGTAGAGTATTGTATTTTGTTGGATTCCGACGCGTTCGTCGTCCGACGTTTTACCATCGACGATTTGGGGACATCGATACCCAAAGCATTGGCTTTCTCGTCAGAATTAGACGAGGGGGACGGCAAGCCGAGCAACGCTGGGGTCGCATTAATGAACGTCCCTCATCTCAGAAAGAGTAGGCCGAAGTTCCTCGAGTTCATATTAAACCACACCCACCCCGATTTTCGCAGAGGCCCATCTGACCAGGGTGCCTATCTGGAGTTCTACGATGAGGATGTTCGATTTCTCAGCACCCGGTTCAACATGAAGCCATACTATTGGGATCGAGAAAATTGGGAGAACCGGTTCATCATCCACTATCACGGATTGAAGCCACATGAGCATATAGAATATTGGTTCAGTGGCACTTGCGAGCCTCTGAAGTGTTACTTGATCTTCAGATTTCAAGGATCACCCTACCAGTGTGACTCGCTGGTGGCATTTGCAAAGGCGGCTGCCTTCGACGGCCCTGATCTCATCAAGCAGTATTGCGAGATGTCCCTGAGAAGTCACAGCGACTTGTGCATCGACCTGCTTAACTTGATGGCCAATCACGAGGTCCCGGGGCAGTCGTGCACGGACTATTGCGAGCAGGTTTTGACGCAGAAGGGATTAAGCCCGCTAGATTTTCCACATATAAAATAATTCATGGTGTCCTACTCGTCTGCATTTGCGCTGTGTCTCCAGGCGGAGGCGGATGCGCTGAAACACGGAGGCACTCCTCTGCGCCCGCCCGCCTGCTGAAGGTAACTGTATCTGGTGGCCTTCGGCACAGCCCGCCAACGCGCCTGGGTCGAGGATTGGAGGCCTCTTCGAGCATGTCGGGCCTGTTGGAGGCCTCTGGGGGACCCCTCCGGGGCCTACTGGGGGCCCTCTTGGAAGTGTCCCAGGGGCATCTTGGGACTTGGAGACTCTCAGGTCTTGCTGAGTGCCTCTTGGAGACCTGCTGGTGGTCTCGGTGCCGACTGGGTCCAGGCGGGCCTCTCGGCCCCTTCTTCTGAGGGCCTTGGAAGCCGTGTTGGATCTCTATTGGGCCATCGCATGCCGCCTTTGACGCGCTTGCCAGAGCAAACGAGAATGCCAAGTTCTCACACCAACATGCGAGTTTCCCCGCCGTGTCAGCACGGACCCATGGGGCAGGCTTGGGGCACTTTTGGAGTTGAAGCCTCCAACTTCGCGCCTGAGGCCTATGGAGAAGTCACACTGCGAACCTCAGGAGCGCACAATGATCCAGATTGTTTCGGGAATGAGGCCTGGAGCATCTACAACACTCAACATTGAGAGTCCGGAGTGACCTGAGGACTTTCCACACAGTGCCGACGGCACGGCGGCGGATTAGTACGGGCCAGTTCGGCCGTCATTTTTGTGCCTCGCCGTGCCCGTCCGGGACAGAATTTACGTCTCTCCTGGCCCTTCCCGACCCAAGGCTAGCACTCCTCAGCGTGTGCGCCTCATTTTGGCTCGGGCGAGCGCGAATCACGAATCTGTCTTATGTCTTGGTCAACGTCGATGCGCAGCACGAGCCTGCCAAAATGAGCCTCCAGGCAAGGGACGGAAGGCGTGGGCCGGGTCCATTTGCGCTTCGCCGATGGACGCACGGCCGGGGGCGTTCGTTCAGGAACATGCCCGGGAGGTTCCAGGCCTTGTGGGATTCCTGATCTGACGAGGCCGGCGGTGATAGCCATGGCCGAGGCTCCATCGGTGCAGGGCTCGACCCAAACGGTGTTCTGGAGATTTCGTGGGCCTTTTTCGTCTCGACTCTCCGTTTTGCGGCAGAGGCGGATGGAAGACAAGACGAGGGACAACGAGCACAGAGCGAACACGACAAACACGGTTCGGGCCGATCTCTGCCTCGGTGCCCCCCCGGCTTTCGGACCCTGGGCTCCTTATCTCGGGGAGCCCCGTGTTTACCAGCCTGGAACATTTCCCTGTCCCTATGCTGGGCACCTCCTCATCACGATGTCAATCTTAAGGGTTCCCTTCTTTTTTGAGGGCGAATCCCTGAGATTGTCATCGCCTTTTGCTCGCCCATCTTAGGGGTAGGGCTACGTTCGAGGCTGGTTACTGTGTCCCCTGGCTCCCGCCGTGCTCCGTCCCGTGGCGCGTGGGGCAACAAAGGCAGCAGGGGACGTGCCTCCGCTCGAGGGGCGTGCGCGCCGACTGCGCCCGTGCCTCCGCCCCGTGGCGCGTGGCGTGCGCGGGGCCAACAAAGGCAGCAGGGGATGGGGGAGTGGCGGGCGCGCGCCTCGGCGGCCCCCTCCTCCCTCCTCCTCCTCCTCCTCCTCCTCCTCCTCCTCCTCCTCCTCCTCCTCCTCCTCCTCCTCCTCCTCCTCCTCCTCCTCCTCCTCCTCCTCCTCATGGCGGAGCACGGTTGGAGGCCGATGGCAGACGCCTTCACCCCCCTCGGCCAGCTCAGCCAGTCCGGGGCAGCGAGAGGGGGGGGACAGGCATCGACCCCCAATCGCCCATGGATCGCCGACGGGGGCGCCCGATGGCCCAAAGACCTGCCCAGGAAGGTGCGGATTCATGATGGGAGGCCTGTCGCCGACCCATCGGCAGTGCATCGCCGACCCCGGGTCGATGCGCATCTCCCTCAAATGCCCGTCCCCCCCTTACAGTGCCGTTTTTGATACATGCTCCGCGTGCGGATCATGTATTGAAAATGCAGGGATTCAGTATTACAAACAACGATGAGTTCATGCATCTGTTTTTTTTCTATAATTCATCATGTATTAAAATCCTATGTGTTTAACAATCCTATGTACCAGAAACTGCCCGGTATCGTTGCTCCTCACCCAAGGAGCGCCTGCCATTGCCCTGGGATTGCCCTGGAGCGCGCCCGGGAGGAGTGCCTCGCGAGGGCGGCCGGGAGGCGTGCCTCGCGGGGGCGCCCGCGGGGCCCGTGATCGGAGCTCGGCTCGACCAGCGGATGCGCCGAGGCTCCGCCCGAGAGCTCCGAGGGGCTGCTTCCGATTCCTCCGCCTCGGCCTGGTCCGAACACAAATCCGGTTGCGTGTGTGTGTGTGTGTGTGTTTGTGTGTGTCTGTGTATGTGAATTGGGGCCTGTGTGTCTGTGTGTCTGTGTGTGTGTCGCCCTCCTCCTCCTCCTCCTCCTCCTCCTCCTCCTCCTCCTCTTCGATCCTCCTCCTCCTCCTCCACCTCCTCCTCCTATTGCATGGTGGCACGATTCGCCATAACGGCATCCCGGTTTGGGCATTTCTGCTGGTGTAGCCTTCCCCTGCCTCGCCGCCGGCGCGAAAATGTGTGTGTGTGTGATTGTGTGTATGTGTGTGTGTGTGTGTGTGTCGGGGAGGGGGCAGCCGTGCGCGTCTCTTCGCCCGACATCCTGCGCCACGCCGCCGCGCGCATGGCTGCGACGCAAAGTAAGCGTGCGTGTGTGTGTGGTTGTATGTGTGCGTGTGTGTGTGTGTGTGCGTGTGTGTGTATTCGGCGGGCGTGCCGTGTACCCTCGGCTCCGCTGCTGCATCACGCGCAGGCGATGGTAGCCCCCTTCTACGTCGGCGTGGCGACGGCGTACGCCAGCCTACCTTTCCGCCTCGGGCTCGCTCCGATCCCACCACACTCCACTGCGTGCTGTCCACGGCAGGTTGCCGCTGGGCAGGGCTATAAGGCCCGCGCGCTCGTTTGGTTACCTCTGTCAGCGGTTGCGAGTTATCGTTTCCCATCCCATTCGCTCCTGGAGGGTTGTCAATCGACCTGGTTGTCGCACGGCCTAGGTCCCGGTCTCGCTCTCCTTGCAGCTGCGAGCACTGCTGAACAGGTTCCTCGGAGCAGCCACCGCAGGCGCTCTCCTCCGTGCAGTGAGCAGTGCCGCTGGGGTCGTCAGCCACCTGCCCCTGATGTCCGCTTCTCTTTTCCTTTCCCGTCCTTTCCTCTCCCGTTGCGCTCTATGCTCGTTGGCGTGGCCGACTTGGCCTGGTGAGCTGGTCCTTCCGTGGCGCCCTTTGTTTTGCCGTGCGCCCAGTTTCTTCCGCCCTTCTCCCTCCCTGGCCTGACGTTTTACTATGTTTTGCTTGCCCCGGTTTTCCAGCAGCGCTTGTACACTGCTGCCCAGCGGCCAGCTACGCGCGACTTCCCCTGCGCTCACCAGCACTGCGGACTCTGCGCACGGAAGCTCCCGCTTCCGCTTCGGCACAGGGTGCGCAATTCGGTTTGGCGCCGCTCGCGCTTGGCTTTGCACGACTTGCGCTTGCAATCCCAGCGCCGTGCAGGAGGAACAGACGTGCTCGTGCGTGAGCGTGTCCAGCCCTGCCGCTTCTGGGCGGGGCCTCCTTCGTGCTCCACCCTCTCCGGCCGAAGGCCGGACTGCGCCGCGCTGCTGCGCGCGTGGCCGCGACGCCAAGACGTGCGCGTGGGTCCCGCACCTCAGCCGCATGCCCTCGGGCGTCCTGGTTGCCGGCCTTCGCTGCGTCGCCGCGTGCTCGGCCGCCGCGCGCGCGGCTTGCGTGCTACGACCTTCTCCGCCCCGTCGCTGTGTGCGGGGCCGCGACGCCAACAAGTGTGTGTGTGTGTGTGAGTGAGTGAGTGGGTGAGTGTGAATGTGTGTGTGTGTGTGTGCGTGTGTGCGCGCGCGTGTGTGTGTGTGTGTGTGTGTGTGTGTGCGCTGGTATTCGCATCACTTTCCCATCGGGCGCCTGCCACCTCGCTCGTTGGCCACCGTGCGCCTCGTCCACCTTCTCTCGGGCTGCATTGCGCCTCCGCTTGTCGTTTTCCGCTGGCTGGGCGCTGCCGAGTCTACGTCATCTCCCGCAGCCCCGGCCCAGGCGCGCGAATGGCACGGTTGATCCATGTTTGGGTCCTTGCACCGTCTTCTGAGGGGCCAGTCGCGCGCGCTCTGTACACTCTCTTTGCTTGATTTGCTTCGCTTCGTCTCTGCGCGCGAGGCCGTGGCGCCCAAAAGTGTGTGTGTGTGCCTCACTCGGTCTCCCCGCCTTCCAGCCCAGGTCGGCTTCTGTCACCTTCCACCCTCACCGTAGTTTCGTCTACAAACAAGCCGCCCTCCCCACCATCCATGCCTGGATGGTTATGGCTGCCGCCGGCTGTGAGGCCCTGCGCGGTCTCTGACTGCTCGGCCGCGCGTAGAGGCGCGCGCCTCACTGCCTGCAGCCGACCTTCTACACCCCGTCGCCGCGCGCGAGACCACGACGCCCCCCCCCCTAAAAACAAAGTGCGCGTGTGTGCCCAGCCTCCTGGCAGCTTGCCGTCGGGGGGCGGACTGGCCGGAGCCGCCGCCCTGCCGCGCAGGGACGTCGCCGAGCGCGACCGCTGCAGCTCAGGCGGCGCCCTGCGCCCGGCCCGCGCCCGCGCGGCCCCGACCGCTCAATCAGTAGCGGAAACGTCCTTGCCTGCTCATGTCAGCGGCACCGTAACGGGTACTCGCTAACGGGTATTTCGGAGATTTGCCAGAAGTTGCCACTTTAGGGCCTCTTTCTGGCATTGCAGCGTTGCCCACATCGAGGAGGGTTAGATTCGCCGAGTCACTGGCCAAAGTACCCGTTTGTGACGTTAGTGGAGTCCCCGTTGGAGGGGCCCCGATCATGCCCCCCAAACATTGTTCAAAACACTGGTTCTGGCTTGCGCGAAGCATGTTCTCAAGCCGTGTCTGTTGGAGACCGCCTTGTGCCAGTGCGTCGCTGTCACGTCCCGAGAACATGGCTTCGCTGCTCTGAAAACATGTCGCGGCAGGCCTACAGTCGGAGATTGGACCATATACATTACCAGTGGCGGCTTTGTGCTCAATCCCAGGACTTGTGGAGGGTCGGGGACGACGCTGGGGTGGTGCGGTGTATATGTTGTTCCTCGATGTCCCAGGGAAGCAACGAAACGTGTATACACCAGGGCCCCGTGTACACCAGGAGCCGCTCTCCGGTGCCAGTTTCACAATGCCTGGCCGGACAAAAGCGTCGGCGTACAGAGTTCGATGCCCTACATGGGGCTTGGCATCGCTCGGACGCGTGCATTTCTCTCTCGTCGAGGACCATCGAGGAGCATCCCTGATCATCTGGCGAAAAAGCCACGCACGAGACCGAACAAAAACACGGGGAATGGACGTGCGAGCGATGGCCAGATGCGCGTGTGCTGTTTAGTGAGGTGGCTGACGCGGCTGCCGAACCAGGCCCTGGAGAGGATGGTGCTGTGAGCTGGTCCTCTGCGGCGGGGCCGCAGAGGGTGATGAGGTGGAGGGCGGCGTCGAGGGAGAAAGAGAAGTGGGGAGGGAGAGGAGGAGCAGGGAGGCCCCGAGCCAGCCCCTTAAGGAGGCTTCGGGGGCTTCGGGGAATGCCAGGACGAATCGGTCTGGCCAAAACCCCCAACGCCCGGCAGGGTGCCACAACGGCAGGCCCACGCCGCCTCTCGGCGCGGGCGTCGGCGCCTGCGCGGGCGCTCCGGGTCGAGGGCCTTCGCGGCGGCCCGCCCGGGGTGCCCCCCAGCGGGGCCGGCAGAGGCCACCCCACGGTGCGAGGTCTGTGCGGAAGACGGCGTCGAGAGTGTCTGCTCCAGGGAGGAGGAGGA